TCTTCTATTTCTCTGCATTGGTCATTGTAGTATTTCTCCTTATCACTGCATGTCAGATGTTGGACAGTTGTTTTCATACTTCTGCTTTGTTCCTATCTCCCTTTGCTTTTGCTTTTCTTCTTTCTTTTATTGCATGAAGTGTTTCATCTGTCATCCATTGTTTCTTATCTTTCTTTTTGGCCACTGTTAGTGTTTTCTTTCATTCATCCTTAATTATGTCTTTGACTTCTGTCCACAGTTCTTCAGGTTCCCAGTAGATTATACTCAATAGTTCAAATCTGTTTCTTACATTGTTCTTGAATCCATCTGAAATGTTATTCAGGTCATATTTTGGTATAACAATGGTTTTTGCTTTCATCTTCAGATTACCTCTGGTTTTTGTTATGAGCAGTTCGTGGTCTGTGCCACAATCAGCTCCTGGTCTGGTTTTGGCCACAAGGATAGAGTTTCTCCATCTTCTACTTCCAATTATGTAATCTATCTGGTTTTTATGTTTACCATCTGGTGATGTCCAGGTGTAAAGTCTCCTATCTGGTTGTATGAAGCAGGTATTTGCAATGAATAGATCAGGGATCCCCAGACTTTTTGATCTGGGGGCCGGTTCGCTGGCCCCCAGATCTTTTTGGAAGCCAAAAGGGCGTACGGCGGTGGGTGCGAGTAGCGCGAGCGGCAGCAGCGGTAGAGGTGGGGCGGTACATGGGCCAGTAGGAAGGCCTTGGCAGGCCGAGTCCAGCCCACAGGCCATAGTTTGAGAACCCCTGGAATAGATTATTGGCCTTACAGAATTCTATCAGATGCTCTCCTGCTTTATTTCTTGTTCCTAACCCAAATCTAGGTACTATGGGACCAATTTTACATGAATACCACAGATACAGTCATAATTGGATGTTTTTTAAAGTATCTTTTGTGAGTCACTTTAGGTCCAATTTAGAGGAGCAAAGCAGCATAGAAATACAATACAATAAAATAAAATCCAATAAAATAAATAATTAAGTCTAATTTGTTTAAAACTCCTTGACAACTGCAGCTTCCTTCCTCTCCAGCTCTTCTTCTTTTTCTCAGTTGAACTAGTAAGAACAGCCCCTTCTTTATGGTTGTCCTCCCAATGGGCCAAATTAACAATTCATTGGAGTTACACAAGTGCATCAGGGTCCCTGAAACAACAATGAGTAGAGTCACCTCAAAGTGTGTCTCTGCTGTTGGCATGCTTGCCTGAAACCCATTGAGATACTTTTACACACACACACACACATATACTTCAGGGTTCAATCACTTCTGAATTTTCCTAATTGCTCTTTGGTCTTACCTGAATGAGGTAAAGGGAAGTCTCAGGCTTACTCCAGAGAAATAAAGACATGTGCAAGTATATGTACTGACATTCATCCCCTGTTATTTCTTTGTCTCTTCTTTCTCCTTCTCCTCTACTTTTGTTTTCTTCTGCTTCCTGAATTTAGGCCAAGAGCAGGAATCGTATAACCCTCTTGTTGGACCACAAATCCCAATATTTCTTGCCTTTGACTGTTATGGCTAGGACTGCTGGGAATTGTAAACCAGCAATGTCTGAATAACCATATGATTCTCACTTCTGATTTAGGCTCCTAAGTGCAAGTATCTGTGTCTTGTCCTGTCTCTAATTTATTTTGTTCGTTGATGGTGCTATGAAAATAGTACTAATATTAACAATTTCTATAGCCTCCACTTGAAACTTTATATGCTGTCTTCTTCCATATTCTTCAAATCTCCCAAGGGACTATTATATTAAGAAAAAGGTCTGCATCTTTCAGAAATGGAAGACAGCAACATTACTCATTTGGCTGAGCCTCAAGGGGCACTTGCCCTCAGCAAACAGCTATATTAAATGTAGCATGACCACATCATAGGGTCATGCCTCAAGGCAGAAAAGAATGACCTAGGGTCACATAAAGAAATTACTCAAGTCCAGAATGACAGGATTTGTTGTAACAACTCTTCTTTGTCAAAGGCCGGGAGGTGGTTGTTTTTAATTACCTGCTGAATGCTAAGCTGGAAACAAATATTGATAGCACTCTCCTGATGTCATTCATGGGTCCAGAGAGGGCACTGTGGCTTCCAAATGCTCAAGCAATAGGATATTTTGAAATTAGTTGGATTCCGCAGATAGCCATTTAAGAGATGATGGTGCAGTTTATATACACATTAGGGGTGGTAAAAATTGTCAGTTTCACTTGCTCCTGAATTGGATTTTTCTTGAACCTCAAATTCTTTACATGACAAATAAGAGGAAATGTACAATTTTTGCAAAATTCTTCTACAGAGCAAAGCAAAGCAAAGCAGCTTCATTTAAATACCGCTTCATACCATGCTATGTGGTGTCTAAGCGGTTTACAACTGTAAGCTCATTACCCCCCAACAGTTGGGTACTCATTTTAGCGACCTCGGAAGGATGCAGGCCTGAGTCTAGCCTGAGCCCTTGCTAGTATTGAACCTGCAACCTTGTAGTTTATGAGTGAGTGGCTGCAGTACAGGCATTTAACCACTGCTCCACCAGGGCTCCTGAAGTAAAATTGTCTCCCATCCTCACCACTCAAGTT